GTTGCCTCTGAAAAATCCTGCAACTTTCTTGGGAAGATAGGTGGACAAATGTCAGCATGCTGGAAGAAGCAAAGACCACCAGTACTGAGGCAATGATCCTTTGCCATCAACTTCGCTGTACTGGCCATGTTGTCCGAATGCCTGATCACCGTCTCCCAAAGCAGTTACTATACTCTCAACTCAAGAATGGAAAATGGAATGTTGGTGGACAGGAAAAGAGATTTAAGGATGGCTCTCTCAAAGCCAACCTTAAAAACGATGGCATAGACACCGAGAACTGGGAAGCCCTGGCCCTTGAGCGCTCCAGCTGGAGGTCAGCTGTGACCAGCAGTGCTGTAGAATTTGAAGAGGCACGAATGGAGGGTGAAAGAGAGAAACGTGCCAAGAGGAAGGCGCGTCAAGCCAACCCCGACCGGGACCGCCTTCCACCTGGAAACCAATGCCCTCACTGCGGAAGAAGATGCAGAGCAAGAATAGGGCTCCACAGCCACATACGGACCCACAGGGAAATCCATAATGGAAGACCATCTTACTTGTCCAACGAGGGATCGCCTAAGGAAGGTAACATAATTCAAAGACCACTGGACGAATTGATACCAAATTTGGACATAGTACACCTATTAGGCCAACAAGTGACCATCACTCATAAAAACACTGGAAAATATAACAGAAGAGACTTTAAAAGCCAAAAAACAAAAAAATACTTTACAATGCATCCGCAAAACCACATATGTAGATAAGCACACATATACACAAATATATACAGAAATATATACACATGTATGCACACATGAAACACATATACAGAACAGGGGAAGGAAGGAAGGAAGGAAGGAAGGAAGGAAGGAAGGAAGGAAGGAAGGAAGGAAGGAAGGAGAGAAAGAGGGAAAGAAGGAGAGAAGGAAAGAAAGAAAGGTAGAGAAGGAAGAAAGGAGAGAAGGAAATTAAAAAGTGAAAGAGGGAAGGAAGGAGAGAAGGAACGAAAGAGAAAAAGAGGGAGGGAAGGAAGGAAGGAGATAAGGAAGGACGGAACCAAAGAGCAAAGGAAGCGAAAAAAAAAGCAGATAGAGAAAGGAGAAAGGGGAAGGGAAAGAAAAAGAGGGAAGGAAGGAGAGAAAGAAAGAAAGAGAGAAAGAGGGAGGGGAGGTTGGCTACAGCATGGCGGGTACAGCTAGATAAACATATACACAAATATATACACACACATATACACATAAAAGACACATATACACAGACTGGACCACAGCAACACATGGCAGGAGATGGCTTATCTCTCTCTCTGTCTGTGTGTGTGTGTGTGTCTGTGTGTGTGTAGAGGGGAGGGGGGGTTGGAATATGTTCCTCTTTCTGTATCAGTGGATTTGATATTTCCAAGTTGTGAATGATTGAATCCGTGCATACAGAGGGCTGACATTGAAGCGTGAAACCACAAAGGTGTCACTCTCTCTGCCACTCTTTTGAGCAGTTTTTAAGTATTTTAAAGTATTTTGGGTTTTGTAATTCTAGATCAGGAATCCTCAGCCTATACAATAAAAAAACTGGGAAAAATGTGGCAATATAACCCATTACAAACAATTATTTGCAAATAGGAGTGGTGGGTATTATTGAGAGTTAGGAGAATGCCAAGCAATCATACACATCTTGCTAAACCAAGCAGAAAGACTTGGCAGGCTTATAAAAACAGTTCTCCTCTGAAGCCTAAATATTTGATATATATTTCCAAAGACTGAACTCCTCTGGAAATCCCAGTGCAAACTTCTCATTCTGTTCTATTCCCAACAGGTACCAAATTTCCTATCAAGTGGACAGCTCCGGAAGCCATTAACTATGGGGTTTTCACCATCAAATCTGACGTCTGGTCTTTCGGGGTTCTTCTAACAGAAATCATCACTTATGGAAGGTGTCCATATGCAGGTACAATATCTAGATAAGACGCTTGTAGGGGCCATGTGTTCCCCTCAAGTCACTTGTCCACTTATGGAATTCTTAGGGTTTTCTGGGAGGTGATTTTGCCATTTCCATCCTCTGAAATATAGCTTCCAGCCCTTGTTATCCATCCTTGCAGAGGTTGGAATTCACAACCACCTGTACAACAGCTGAAATCTCCACTTTTTTTTGCTGAGGAAGGCCCCCAAACATGGATGGTTTGGTAGTTAGCCTTGTTTTTAACTGGTTTTAATTGTACGAATGGCTTGATGATATTTTTGACTTTGAAATGTGGTATCTTTTTAACTATGCTTCTTATAATGGTTGAATCTCATGTGTTGACAGTTATGACGATGATACCCTATGGGACATTTCCCCCCAATCCATACGTCCATTGATTGTCTAAAGCAGTGTTTCTCAACCTTCGTACTGCCATGACCCCTTAGTACAGTTCCTCATGTTGTGGCGACCCCCAACCATAACATTATTTTCGTTGCTACTCCATAACTGTTATGAATTTTAATGTCAATATCTGATATGCAGAATGTATTTTCATTCAATAGACCAAATTTGGGACAAGTACCCGATACGCCCAAATTTGAATTCTGGTAGAGTGGGGTGGGGGGTGGGGGATTGATTTTGTTATTTGGGAGTTGTAGTTGCTGGGATTTATGGTTAACCTAAAATCAAAGAGTATTCTGAACTCTACCAATGATGGAATTGAACCAAACTTGGCACACAGAACTCCCATGACCAACAGAAAATACCGGAAGGGTTTGGTGGGCATTGACCTTGAGTTTTGGAATTGTAGTTCACCTACATCCAGAGAGCACTGTAGACTCAAATGAGGATGGATCTGGACCAAACTTGGCATGAGTCCTCAATATGCCCAAATGTGAACACTGGTGGAGTTTGGGGAAAATAGACCTTGACATTTGGGAGTTACACTTGTTGAGATTTATAGTTTGCCTACAATCAAAGAGCATTCTAAACCCCACCAGTGACAAAATTGGGCCAAACTTTCCACAAAGAACCCCCATACCTTGAAGGAACTCACTGACACGAGCCTCCCTCCCACCTTGCACACTCTCCCTCGCCCGCATATGCGCACCACCCTGCCATGTGCCGAGCATCTCCCCTCCCGCACTTGGAGTATCAGAAACACTTGGAGTGTTTCTGGGGCATCTCCCCTCCCCCACTTGGAGTATCAGAATATCAGAAACACTTGGAGTGTTTCTCTCAGCCCCCCCGCTGAGAGATTTGATGAAAGGCCAGCCAATTGCAGTGGAGGAGAGCTTTTGGTGAGAGGATTTGCTATCTGTTTACAAAAACGAAGAGAAGGACAGGCGGAGAGATCTGCAGCCTTCTCTGCCAATGGGGTTCCTGAGACCATCAGAAATGTATGTTTTCTGATGGTCTTTGGCGACCCCTCTGAACCCCCTCTTGACCCCCCCCCCCCCAGGGGTCCCGACTCCCAGGTTGAGAAACACTGGTCTAAAGTCTGCTTGAAAAGTATCTTCAAAAAAGGAGAATTCACTACCTTTTGATGCAGTCTATTTCACTGCTATTGTTTAGGTGGACTCTCACAATTTGAATCCATCCATGTTGATTTTAGACTCTAGAGCAAGAGAAAACAAGTTTGCTCCATCTTCTCTTCAGGTATTTAAAGATGACCATCATGTATTGTCGAAGGCTTTCGTGGCTGAAATCGCTGGGTTGCTGTGAGTTTTGGGGGCTGTATGGCTATGGATGCTTGCTACAGATGTAGGTGAAATGTTAGAAGAGAATGCTGCTGGAACATGACCATGCAGCCCCAAAAACTCACAGCAACCCAGTGACCATCATGATCCCTCATAACTTTGTCTTCTCCAAGCAACACATCCGAAACTACTTTAAGCCGTTCCACATAGGACTTTGGTAGTATCTAGATCTTCATTATCTTGGTTGTCCTCCTCTGGACGCATTTCCAAGTTGTCTAGGTTCTTCTTGAACTCTGGTGTCCATAGGTCCTAAGCTTTTCTTTCTCTTCCACAGCAATGACCAATCCTGAGGTTATCCAAAAGCTAGAACAGGGCTATCGGATGCCATGCCCGGACTCTTGTCCACCTGAACTCTATGCCATGATGCTGAAATGCTGGAAAGATAAGGCAGAAGAACGGCCCACCTTTGAGTACCTTCAGTCTACCCTCGAAGACTTTTACACGTCCACAGAAATGCAGTACCAACCAGAGCCTGTGGTTTCTTGACTGTTGATTGGTGGAGGAAAGGCGAGATCCTGAAAAAGAAAATCAGAGAACACTAGTGGGAGGGACGCATGAGGTTTATTAGGAATTGGACATTGCTGGGTCTTTGGGCAACTCTTTCTTTTTCAATGTTATCTCAGTGTCGCTCTCCTTTATGTCCCTCCATTCAGAAGTATGTGAACCGAGCTGGTCCCTGGAGTCACAAAACAAGATGTTTAAAAAATGGAAAACAAATTGATTCAATAAATAATTTAAATTGTCAAGTCTGGATCAATCAAGTAAACAAGTAGGAGGATTAACAGGCCTTGCTCCGTGTTCACACAGTCCATTGTCCCCATGTTGTGCCCGAATAATAATAATAATAATAATAATAATAATAATAATAATAATAATGTAGACGCTGCAAGGAAGCAGATGAAACAATAGATCACATCCTGAGCTGCTGCGAGAAGATCGTGCAGACAGACTACAAGCAGAGGCATAACACCATTGCTCAGATGATTAATTGGAACTTGTGCCACAAACACCATCTGCCTGAGACAAAGAAATGGTGGGATCACAAGCCGGAAAAAGTTACAGAGAATGAACACGTCAAGTTACTCTGGGACAGACAGAGTTTTGGAGCACAAGACTCCTGACCTCACGATCGCGTTAAAAACCAAAGTATGGATTGTCGATGTTGCGATCCCAGGAGACAGCAGGATTGAAGAGAAACAACTGGAAAAACTGACACAATATGGGGATTTAAAGATCGAACTGCAAAGACTCTGGCACAAGCTTGTCAAGGTGGTCCCAGTGGTGATCGGCACACAGGGTGCAGTGCCTAAAGACCTTGGCCTGCACTTAAACACAATCGGCGCTGACAAAATTACCATCTGCCAGCTGCAGAAAGCCACCTTACTGGGATCTGCATGCATTATTTGTTGATACATCACACAGTCCTAGACACTTGGGAAGTGTCCAATATGTGATCCAATACAACAGCCAGTAGAGTGTCTGCTGTGGACTCATCTTGTTGTGTTTCTAATAATAATAATAATAATAATAATAATAATAATAATAATACACTTTATCTATATTCCGCTTTATCTCCCTGGAGAGACTGAGAGCGGATTACAGAAACATGTATAAGGCAAACATTCAATGCCTTTCTACAAAACAACATACAATACACAGACAAAGATAAAGGTCTTCCACCTATTTTCATTTCTGGAGGCAATGCTCACCTCCAGCCATGGGGAGGTGCTCTAGTTCCATTTTTCCATGCCAAGGAGAATATTATCTCAGATCATGTTGCCGACATGTTTTTGTATCTACACAGGACATCCTTTTATCTTCCCACTGACATAGTGGCCCATTTTGATTGTTTTTTGCCTTAGGAGAGGGCTTTTTTGTAATAAAAAATTCAAACACTTTTTATCATTATGTGTATCCTGTCTTTCTCATAAAATTGGGACTTGAGGAAGCTTAGGATTTGAAAACACAACCAGTCCTCCTCCTTTATTGTTGAGCACACTTTGGCAAGACATGGAGCAAGAGTTGCCAGAGGTGCAAGCTGGGTTCAGAAAAGGCAGAGGAATGAGAGACCAAATTTCCAATATCCGCTGGATAATGGAGGAAGGAAGGGAGTTTCAGAAATACATTTATTTCTGTTGACTATTCTAAAGCCTTTGACTGTATGGATCATAATAAATTGTGGCAAGTTCTTGGTGGCATGGGGACACCAAGTCACCTTGTATCTCTCCTGAGAAATCTGTATAAGGACCAAGTAGCAACAGTAAGAACTGACCATGGAACAACAGACTGCTTCAAGACTGGGAAAGGTGTACGGCAGGGCTGTATACTCTCACCCAACCTATTCAACTTGCATACAGAACACATCATGCAATGCACGGGGCTTGACAAACTCAAGGCTGGAGTTAAAATTGCTGGATGAAACATTAACAACCTTAGATATGCAAATGATACCACTTTGATGGCTGAAAGCAAGGATGAGCTGAGGAACTTTCTAACCAAGGGGAAAGAAGAAAGTGCAAAAGCTGGGTTGCAGCATACATATATATATATATATATATATATATATATATATATGTGTGTGTGTGTGTGTGTGTGTGTGTGTGTGTGTGTGTGTGTTTATTTATTCCACAATTATGGCAACCAGACTGATTGATAACTGACAAACAGAGGGAGAAAACGTGGAGGCAGTGACAAACTTTGCATTTCTAGATGCAAAGATGACTGCAGACGCAGACTGCAGCCAGGAAATCAGAAGACGCTTACTTCTTGGGAGGAGAGCAATGTCCAATCTCGATAAAATAGTAAAGAGTAGAGACATTACACTGGCAACAAAGATCCACATAGTTAAAGCAATTGTATTCCACATACCTATGGATGTGAGAGCTGGACCATAAGGAAGGCTGAGCAAAAGAAGAGAGACGCATTTGAACTGTGATGCTGAAGGAAAATCCTGAGAGTGCCTTGGACTGCAAGAAGATCCAACCAGTCCATCCTCCAGGAAATAAAGTCCGACTGCTCACTGGAGGGAAAGAGATTAGAGGTCAAGATGAAGTACTTTGGCCACAACATGAGAAGACAGGAAAGTTTGGAGAAGACCATGATGCTGGAGAAAATGGAAGGGAAAAGGAAGAGGGGCCGACCATGGGCAAGATGGATGGATGGGATCCTTGAAGTGACTGGCTTAACTTTGAAGGAACCAGGAGTGGCCACAGCCTACTGGGAGCTCTAGCATTCCAGGAGGTCATGAAGAGTCGGAAGTGACTGAACGAATAAACAACAACACACTTTGGGATCATTGGATTAGACTGTTTCAGGTTTCTTTTCCAGACTTTACATGCTACATTTTGCAGACGACACCAAATTGGGAGGGATAGCCAATACTCCAGAGGACAGAGCAGAATTCAAAACGATCTTGACAGATTAGAGAGATGGGCCAAAACTAACAAAATGAAGTTCAACAGTGACAAATGCAAGATACTCCACTTTGGCAGGAAAAACGAAATGCAAAGATACAAAATGGGGGACAATGCCTGGCTCGAGAGCAGTACGTGTGAAAAAGATCTTGGAGTCCTCGTGGACAACAAGTTAAACATGAGCCAACAATGTGATGTGGTGGCAAAAAAAGCCAATGGGATTTTGGCCTGCATCAATAGGAGCATAGTGTCTAGATCTAGGGAAGTCATGCTCCCTCTCTATTCCGCTTTGGTTAGACCACACCTGGAATATTGTGTCCAATTCTGGGCACCACAATTCAAGAGAGATATTGACAAGCTGGAATGTGTCCAGAGGAGGGCGACTAAAATGATCAAGGTCTGGAGAACAAGCCCTATGAGGAGCGGCTTAAGAAGCTGGGCATGTTTAGCCTGAAGAAGAGAAGGCTGAGAGGAGATATGATAGCCATGTATAAATATGTGAGAGGAAGCCACAGGGAGGAGGGAGCAAGCTTGTTTTCTGCTTCCTTGGAGACTAGGACGCGGAACAATGGCTTCAAACTACAAGAGAGGAGATTCCATCTGAACATGAGGAAGAACTTCCTGACTGTGAGAGCTGTTCAGCAGTGGACCTCTGCCCCAGAGTGTGGTGGAGGCTCCTTCTTTGGAAGCTTTTAAACAGGGGCTGGATGGCCATCTGTCAGGGGTGATTTGAATGCAATATTCCTGCTTCTTGGCAGGGGGTTGGACTGGATGGCCCATGAGGTCTCTTCCAACTCTTTGATTCTATGATTCTACTACATACTCACTCCAGCAAAGGATCACCGCCTTGTCGGGGCGCTGGAGCTTGAGCACCTCAATGATGTCATGAGCGAAACCGTGAAGGGACACCCAAGACGGGACGGTTGTGGCAGAGAGGTCAGACCAAGCGTGATCCCTGGGGAAGGCAATGGCAAACCACTCCAGTATCCTTGCCAAGAAAACTAAATGGACCAGTACAACCAGAGATATGTCGGTATGCCATTGGAAGATGGGACTCCCAGGTCGGAAGATGGCCAAAATGCTACTGGGGAGGAGCAGAGGATAAGTTCAACTAGCCCCAGATGTGATGACGCAGCTAGCTCAAAGCCGAAAGGAAGGCTAGCGGCCGACGGTACTGGAGGTGAACGACGAATCCGATGCTCTAAAGATCAACACACCATAGGAACCTGGAATGTAAGATCTATGAGCCAGGGCAAATTGGATGTTGTTATTGGTGAGATGTCAAGACTAAAGATAGACATTCTGGGGGTCAGCGAACTGAAATGGACTGGAATGGGCCACTTCACATCAGATGGCCACCAGATCTACTACTGCGGACAAGAGGAACATCGAAGAAATGGAGTAGCCTTCATAATTAATAAGAAATTCGCTAAAGCGGTGCTTGGATACAACCCAAAAAATGACAGAATGATCTCAATTCGAGTGCAAGGAAAGCCTTTCAACATTACAGTGATCCAAATATATGCCCCAACCACAGCTGCTGAAGAAGCAGAAGTAGATCAGTTCTATGAGGATCTGCAGGACCTACTGGATAATACACCAAAAAGAGACATTATTTTCATTACAGGAGACTGGAATGCCAAGGTGGGAAGTCAAATGACAACAGGGATCACAGGCAAGCATGGTCTGGGAGAACAAAATGAAGCGGGACGCAGGCTGATAGAATTTTGCCAGGAATTGAATCGTCCACTAGATGTCACTGTCCCCTCACATAGCAACACAAACCTTTCCAGCTCTTCCTTTTCCAAAACAGCCAGACACAGCAATCAATTCAAAAGCCACTGTCTTGGAAGGGAGATACAATTTCTCTCCAAAGTGCAACTGTTGCAAAAACAAAACAAATCTTTCGAAATCTTTTAACATAGGAGTCTTTCCAATTCAGAAAAAGAAAATAGTTGGTGCCTCTCAGTTGTGTGGTGTGCACAAATTTGCTCTGTATTCTAGCCTGAACTTTAAAGGAGGTGTTGTTGCTTTTTAAAAAGTACCAAGAAGTTTGTGGCAATCCATCACAGGGCTTTCCTGGAAAGGTTTATTCAAAGGAGGGTTCCCACTGCCTTTCTCCAAGGCTGAGAGAGTGCAACATGCCCAGTGATCAAATCACGCACTCTCAGCCTCAAAGGAAGACAGCAGGAAAGCCCACTGAAGAAATATAATTGGATGTATCTCATCATAGCTTTTCTTTGGAAGCTTTTAAACAGAGGCTGGATGGCCATCTGTCGGG